ATGAAAATAATATCAATCAAAATTTAAACGATTAGCAATATATTTGGTTTAAAATTATTTATATTTCTTCAGTCAATTGTACAATTTATCATTAAAATTTTTAATTCGTTAAAAAAATAATGTGTTTACAATGTATGGAAAGCAAATCTTCTATGTTTAATACAAATTTTTATCTTTGAGTATTATTAGAAATATTAATAGTATTACAAATATTCGTATAAAGGTACAACTTTTCATAAGCATATTTTCTGGTAAATATTTATACAAATACAATTTGCAAACCGATAAAATAAGACTATTTAATAAAACGCGAATTTTAAATTTGTACAGTAAAAAGAAAAATCGATGATTTTACTGGAAACTAGTTTTAATTTAAAATAAATTAAAATAATCATTTGTTAATGGATGATTTAGTGATTAGCTGTCATTTATGGGATAATTTTGACCAACAATTTTTGTTATTATAGATTATTACTGTACAACGAACTGAAAATATTTTAAACTATTAAAAATGACAGGAATAATATTTACCAATCATTAATTTCACGCGTTGTAAAGTTATTTATACAGTGAACACATTGTTAGACTATAAAAATATTTATAAATTATTTGTATGTAGGCAACATAACATACGCTGAAGAGTTAATTACTTTGTTCAAAAAGGCGTTCTTGTTTGCAGTATTTTAATAATTTAAAAAATATTTAATTGGAGATCGATCATTAACAATATATGTATTCATAGTTTAATAATAATTAAATAATATAAAAATTTAATAATTTGTATATTTTATCTTACATTTTTATATCATCTAAATTAATTAATTTTATTTATAGATTGATTGTAAAATCAATATTTTATTTTTTATTTAGTTATTCAAAATGTTGCCCTAATGCATAAATACATATTATATTATCAACAAAAATAATAAAACAATAATTGAAAACTGGAATTAATGAATTTTTATGGGACCAATGAATTTTTATACTAAAAATATGGAGTTGTAAATTTTATAAATTTTTGTGTACATCCGTTACTAAAACTATTAGGTAGTTTTTTCTATTTCTATAGAGTTCTATAGCTCATCAGAAATGGTAACGTATTATTTATTTTTAAATGTCTTGAGCCAATTATTTTTTTATATTTCTAATGTGCCGTGCCTTTAGCACATGTTGCGAAATACGTTTTATATTTTGTAAGTGTTCATATTTTTTAGGTATCCCTCAAAATCGCAGGTGTGTTACAGTACCCCTGCCATATTAATATTTTTTTTTGTAATTTTTCATCGCGTATTTATTTTTTGCCCTTCAAAAATCATCTTTCCATAATTTATAAAGTATGGACAATGGTCCTGTATAAGAGCATATTAATTTAATCATAGTTTATGTGACAACTTGTCACAAGATTTTAGTGTACATCAGCTGCCAATAACTCAACGATCATTAAAAACAACTTTATTTTATTTACAAAATAAAAAATATATATATTTATATTATTTTTATAGCGTCATGAAAAGTACTAAACTCCTCCGTTGTGGACAACATTTTGTAACTTTTCATTCATGTCTTTTTTGTCTAATTTTCGTTCAACCTCATCGTATAGCAGATATTACCTTCACTCAGTTGAACATTTGTCAACACACTAATATTTAAAAATGAAATAATTAATGATAGTTGAAATTTTGCTTATAAATTTCACAATTTAGCCCAATCCATTCGCGCATAATTTATTGTATCCGTTTTTTATATTGTCGACCAATATGAAAAATTTTATTGCAATAATGTTTTTTTGTACAGCATAATTATGAAAATTTAGTCTTTCATTTCACTTTTAATCATATCGTAATATAACTAACTGTAAATATTTCCATTAAAAACAAATAGTTATAACCACTTTTCTCTATAGGTCGAAAAATTAAAAAAATGGAGTGAACATTATAATTTTATTGATATAAAGTCGCAAAAAGTTTACTATATGAAATAGCAATTAAATAAAAAATACAGAATTTTATTCATCAAAATAATTAGAGACTAATAAGAAGATTTGATTACAAAGGAAGTAAAAGTATTATTCATGTCACCAGGAAAATAACTTAAGTCGTTCAAAATCCCAAATTTTTTCTTGTTTACTCTACATTTAAAATAACGGCAATTCTCAAACTAAGTTTCTAACTAAGATGAAGGGTACTATTTAAAAAAAAAAAAAATGTAGAGTAGAGGGAGGCTCGTTGTTACAATTTTATATTTATATTTTTAGTAATTTTTCTCCAACAGCTACACCATTTTTTATGATTTAATATTAATCTATTTTAAGCTATCATGAAATTATAAATTAATAGTTTAAATACCAAAAAATATGTTTAACTTAAAATGCCCTTCAAAAAAAAAAATTTAGGTAAAACATTTTTACATTTATTTATTGACAATGTCCAATAATTTTCCAATATAAATGAATTAATTTATACTAATTTTATAAAATTAACTAAACAAAATTTGTTCCCTAGTATCAACATTTCGCTGTACTTCATATAATACTACATAAGAGTATTTTTGACGAAATTTCGTTTTATTGTCCAAACCATTTCAAACAAAATAACGTTATGAATTCTTTAAAAACGCTCTCATATAGTATTGCACTAAATGTAACGATTTAAATATCTAAAGATATATGTATAGTGACAACAGTTACTTACAGATTGTTAATTTTTATTTTGGCATTCTATTTTGCTTCACACATGCATTTTATATAACATCAATTTTTTAAACCAAACATCCATCATTTTTATTAGAATTCACATTTTTTTTTCTTCATACAACCAATTGTGGGCGATTACAGCCTCCTCTGAGAGGAAGTTTCTCGAGGATTCACATTTAATCTTGATAAACTCACACGTGTTATTAAAGTTACCCGCACACATATCATGTAACAATTACTAATACGCGGTGTATTACGTGAGTGAACGTTTCGGTATGACAGCAATAACGGTGTCATCGAGATCATAAAGTGCCAATAAACACATGTGAAGTACGAAGGGTTTTAATTTGCTTAGTGTGGTTTTTTTTTTTTTTCAAAAGAGCGAGCCGACAGAAAAACGTCACGTTCAAAATAATCTAAGCGATTAGCACTAAACGCCGACAAAAGAGTAGCAGGAAGAAGTTGATCCGTCCTAACAGCTTCCGTTATCAGTCGAACGCTTTCTTCCACGCCCTAATTAATTATTATTATTGCTTCACGCAATTCACTCTTCAAGTTATCCGCACATATTAATGTTTTGGTGTAAAATAAATAATGGCACGCGTCCGCATCCGTTGCGGTAACCGTTTGTGCCAACCGATGGCCGAAGCCAAAAATAATTTGTTTTGATATTTTCACTAAATTTTTCATGATTTATATTTCAAAATAAGTGAAATGCTACCATGTGTCTATATTTCATATTTTGTGTCACCAGTTCAATTAATCATCTGTTATACGTATAACGAAAATTTGAATTTTTTTATTAATTATGTACGATGAATTTTTACCAAGCCAATTTTCGAATAAGATATCAATATTTAATGATTTCTAAATGGTAAGAACTTTAACTTTCCAACAAAATTGTACTAATCGCTGTATGAATATATTTTTTTAGGGTGTAGACAAATTAGATTGCACTACGTCAATAAGTTGACATTACCTCATTATTTTCAAAAGATAAATTTTATCGACCAACATATTTAATCTAAAAATGATTTAATCATCATAACAATTGTCACAAAAGATATGTGACGAACCATTCGAAAACAACTTAAATATTTATTATTCAGTTATGCGCAAGACGACAATGTGATAAATGAATTTATGGAACCATAACGAGTACAAAACGGTAATCGGAAAAACTTTATGGTCTTCTATAAAAAAAATTCAGGCTTCATCTATTAAATTAAGCTTTTTTTAATAGAAATTCTAAAAACAAAGTAAAATACAAACTTAAAAGTCATTTATAGACATGCTTATATTTCTTTATACTTCTTTAAGTCAAAAAGAATTCTTTCAATTTGATAACACAAAATTGTACAATTAAAAAGCGCCAAGAAAGTTAGTCAGGAAGTTTTATGAAAGAGTGTCAATTATTCAAAAATGAACCTTAATTTATTCAACTGGAATGTTTTTTACTTATGAAGATCTGTTTATAACCCAACTAAACTTATAAGTCTATGTACAATACTTTTATATTCTTTCTATAATTTTCTCACCATTGATGACAGGAAACAACTTTTTAAAGGTAATTGAATTTAACTTCGGGTGCTTGAAATAGGTATTTTAACATAGTTGAAAATATAAAAATAACACATATAGTTTTTAAAATTTGATGGAAAAACTTGGATGTGAATTTTATATGGTCACATGTATAACAATATAGATGATTTATAACAAGGAAATAGATTTGAAGAATTTATTAAAGTGGCAAAAATTAAGGTATTTTTCAATAGATTACAGATTAAAAATTTGTTCAAGAAACATCTCACAAAGTGTAATTTTTGTGTTATATTAAAACATATAAAATCTGTTAACTTAACAAAAAAATAAAAGCTAAATCAAGTTAAAAACACTGGACATATTCATTAATTACAAATAGCCATATCGTATGATTTGTGTGCACTTAATCGTAAAATAGTATATTCTGAATAAATTATACATACCGAGAAATCAAGATACAGATGGTGGTGGCCACTGAACGTATGAGCGCCAAAAAAATAGAGCACGCGTATAATTTATACATAGGAAGTCGCTTATAATTATTTTTGGAGGGGAGGACTTTCGGCAAAAGTGGAGAGTCGAACGTTTACAGTTGCCGTGGCGGTCGATTTCTCCACGTCCCCTCCCGAACGCCGAACAACACCGGCGGAGCTTACACGTCCGCCAAATGGGTTTTAGTTTTTGACGACGAACGAGTATTAAAATAAAATGACAATAAATTCCCCGGGCGCTGTTCGTGTCATACGGGGTGAAGAGAACACTTACTGTGGGGGGGGATTGCAGCAAGATAGAGCCCATATAGTTTGTGCCGGCAGCGCACCCCCCTTGTAGACAGCAGGGGAACAAGCGATAGCGCACTCGATTGGTCAGTAGGCGTGGAATCTGTCGGCCAACGGCTGCGCCGATCTAGGGTGGCAGCGCGCATGTTGCTGGCAACCGCTGCGTTGGATGTCGTACCATCGGGCGTGGTGTCGTCGACGGACTAGTGGTGAAGTGGCGGTGGTGGCGATGTTAACGTGTGTGCACTGTGCCCGTCGATTATCCGATATTTTTTCGAGTTGTTTTTATTAGACCGTTCTCGGGTTTGTTGTTGCTGCTTACCGCCGCGGCGACTGTGTTGTTATTATTGCAAACATCCCGCCGCCGGTGTGTCTCGGTTCCAGTTTTCTCGGCATCCGAACTAATTACCGACCGGACCAAAAAACAATAACATTAAAAAATAAAATAAACGTTCGCGAAATATATTATTTTTTCATATTTCCTGTCGATAGAAAAACAGTGCGATGCATACGCTTTTTGGCGATCAAAACGCTTACTATCGGACAGGTATGTACCCAGCCGCGTCCAACCCGACGGGCGTACCTTATCCCGGGACTTACGAGCAGTACGCCAGGTATGGATACAATGCGGCCGCCGGATACCATCAGACGTCGCATCACGTGACGGCTGCTGCGGCGGCTGCAGCGGCCGCCAAGGATATGGTCAAACCACCGTATTCGTACATCGCTCTCATTGCCATGGCCATACAAAACGCGCCCGACAAACGTTGTACCCTCAACGGTATTTATCAGTTCATCATGGAGCGTTTCCCGTACTATAGGGAGAACAAACAGGGCTGGCAAAATTCAATTAGACACAATCTCAGCCTCAACGAATGTTTCGTCAAACAACCTAGAGACGACAAGAAGCCAGGAAAAGGCAGCTACTGGACTCTTGACCCAGACTCCTACAACATGTTCGACAATGGGTCGTACCTCCGGCGAAGAAGAAGGTTCAAGAAAAAAGACGCGCTCAAAGAGAAAGAAGAGGCCGTTAAACGACAGCAAGAACTGATGCTCAAAAAAGTCACCGAGGAACAATGCAAGTTACTTTTGCACAATAAGGATTTGGTGGAGTGTAAACCGAAAAAGGAACCCGGAGTAGCACAGTCGAGTGATGCGCCGGCACCTCCACTACCGCCAGCGTACCATCAACATCACCATCATCTGCAATACAACGACCAAGACGATTCACCCACGGGAAATCATCATCATCACCATCACCATAGGTACATGGCGGCTACAGCAGCCGATCATCACCACGATGGATTCGCAACACATCAGTATGTGGCAGCTGCTGCGGCAGCGGCCACCGGTCATCACCGACCACCCGGTTGGTATAGTGCCGATCCATCAGACTTTTTCGACGCAGTCGTGCCTAACCCAGTAGCTGCTGCAACAGCCGCAACTTGTGGGTTTAGGAACTCTCCTCATGCGGCTGCTACTGCCTCTACTCATACTCAACTTCACAACTATTACCAGCAACAACCACACGAAGCCAATCCTGTCGCAGTAAAGTTTTCGTCTCAACTTTAACGTAAGTTATCTCAAGTTGAACTGAAAAATAATCTTAACTCGGTGTTTTATCATATGAAAAATGTCTATAGAACCTTATACAGTTTCTTTAAAACGTAAAAATTAGTAGTAGTCTCCTGTTTAGTAGCGCAATTAGAAATTTTGTATGGAGGTGTTCAGATACTTTTTAAAACTCAGAGTAATGAGAGAAGTTTACCCCTTCAATTCTATTGTGACGTAGGGGAGGTCTGGACCTTTGGCTGCGTCATTGCTTCTGTTAAACTTACTCAAGTCCAGACTTTTAATAGAATTACATTGTATTATATGAATATCAAAAATTTATTAAAGTGAATGACTAAAAAATAAAAAATGTAATTAACTGGTGCAAAATCTTTAATAGTATATTGTGTAATATTCTGTACAAATGTTTGTTGTTTTAATTTTAAAACTTATTTCCGTTTCGATGGTAATCGCTAATTATTCTAATTATGTAATTAAATGTACATTAAAAATAGTTTAACAATAATAATGCTATTAAATTGTTACTAATTGCAAGTCGTTTAAATGATATCGAATATAAATAAACATAGTTTACTACAATTGACAATTTGATAAAGAGAATTTTTTACTGTACTATTATAAAATCAACTGAATGATTTTTTATTGTATGATTGGCACATTAAAATCAAGTTTAAAAAATGTTCACCGTTATAATTTTTAATGGATAAAATACACTCTTCAAAAAAATGTCCGAATTTTCACATACACTTACTTGAAGTTTTTAACGCAAACATTGTAAAGGAACTTTGTGATAAAAATGTAATATTTGTGTACGAATTTTTGATGCCTAATGTCAAAATTACACTATTTGTGTGTAAAAATAACGTGTATATTAAAAATGTAATACTAAAGTATGACAACTTTTGGATCATTACAGTTCACTGGATAGAAAATTTGACGATCATAAAAATGAATTAAAATATTTTATTTCGTCTTTTTAATAATATAATTAAATATTTTTATTTTCACGTTAGATATATTTAAGTTGGGTTATTTTTTAGATTTATAATTTTTGACGGTAAAACAATTGTGATATTCATGCCTTACATAGTCAACTTGAATTGAAACGGTTAAAAACGTACACCAGTAGATGACTTTTCGTATCTAACACCACAACTTATCACATCCTTATTACTTTTCAATAGTGTTCCAATTTCTTTTTTTAAATTCGGTGCGAGTTTCTAAATTTTACATTTCGCTAATAACTTTCAATTATTATTTTTCTCGTGTCAATACTGAAATTTAATTAACAAAAGTCCTTACAGTAATATTACTCCGATGTCGTGTTCCAACAAATGACCAAGACATTTACGCAATAAAACACAAATTTAAACTATGCGATACAAAAATAACAAAGTCGTTGTATATCGTCGTTTTTAAAAATATCAACTCTCCTCCGTTTTAAATCAAATAATTAAAAAGAAAATAAAAAAAAGAAAGTAATTTTGCAAATCGCTTCAAGTTTTGACATTCAACACTTGTGAAAATAATAATAAAAACAGGGACCCTCTTTCGTAATGAGCTAATCAAATGAACCCTCGTCGACTTTTTATGACTTGCTGACAATATCGCCATGTTCTTAGCTATCAAAATGTCGTCGGCATGTCACGAGATAAAAATCACTAGTCATAATGAACGATGGACAATCATCGCGCATATTATTTATGTGTACGTGTTGTCTGAGCGATGGGAGTTCAAATCGCGGCATATTACACTGTGGGACCCACCAGGGGCTTCTGATGCCGTTTAGTAGTACATAATATATATTTTAAGTAGGCGGCAAACAACTAGTTCAAGTGCGTGTGTGACATGTGTTTTGTTTTTTGTTCGAACAGGACGACCGCGGCGGGCTTCCATCGACAACGAACAGGAGGAGCTGTCAGATGAACAAATTGTACTCGTCGGCTTGAGAAGTCGAAAACAAGCGGTGGTCATGGTGGTGGGACACGAGGCCGGAGACGGGTGAAGTGAAATAAGAAAAAAAATTCACCACCAAGACATAAACCATATGGATCGTGTACGCTGCTGTCTTGTCACTAACGGTGTTTGCTGAGGCTTATCAGGTGACATTAGTGTCCGTTTGTCTCACTTATAAATATGTTGTAATATATTTGATATTTTTTTGTCAAGTCCATACATGGCGTCCATAAAAAACAGGATCAGGTACAGAGCTGCAATAGCAGCTCTATACCTGTCTGTAAGCTTTTTCTCGAACCGAACATATTTGCATTACGCCGAAGTAATGATTTCATTTGATCACAGTAATAAAAAAGAAAAAATCTGAAAACTTAAGAGTTCGTTATTTTTTATTCGATAATATACATATGACTTTGTTATTTCTATTCATTCAATCTCATACTTATCAAATTAATCAATCAACTGTTTTTATCTATATAAGTGTACGGTAATATGATTGATTTAATAACTATTATACAATTAATTTATACTACTACACAATACCTTTCATGTTATACATGTACTGTAATGAGTACGAGTAATTTATGAATTGGGTCGTTTGTTTAAAATGTAAATGAGTTTAAGCTATTAACCGTTTAATCGTTCAGATTAAAAAATTTATGTCCTAAGGTTTTATAGAATGTATAAATTACAATAGTAATACTTGTTGTGATGTATACATTTCATTCAATGTTTCATAACAATAGTGAAAATAACTTTTTTCAAATATATATACTTGTACACAAATATATAATAGAAAAATCAACTGATGAAAATACTATATAATTCTACTATCGTTTGGTACTATTGAAACATTATTAGAACTAAATGTATATATAATTAATATGTAATTACATATAAGTGACTGACTGACTAGTTGGGCTTTAGATTGTTTTTTATAATATTTAAGTGATCAATTCAATATTGTATGATCCCTATAACACTTGCTTCTCTTTCTTGTCTATCTTACATTTGTCTCTGTAAATCTAATGTATATTATTTTTATTCTATCTATGTACACATTTTATCTACTTATTTACAATGGATTTATGAAGAAATAATATAACGTATTATTTCCGTGTATAATATTATTATTAATATATTATTATGTAATAAGATGTTCAATAATATAAAAATATAGATATGTAAACAAACATAATTTTTTTTTTTATTTTACAAAACTTAGACTTAATTCGTGTGCATAATGCAAAATACAATAATGGTCTTTAAATAAAATAGTAACTTTAAAGGTGTAAAATTAATTCAGCAAATCATTGATGAATAAAATAAATCTGATCATTAATATAAAAAGTAAGGGAAATTGTAATCTTCAACAAGATTTTACACATGTAAACTCCAACAATTTTGAAAAAGTAAATCCTACAAACTACCACAAAAATTATCCTTCCCAAATGTTTACAAATTAACTCCGAGAAATATGAAATTTCCTAAAAATCCTAAAATCGATTGACACATAAGCGATCGGCTGATTTTATTCAGTGAATTTAAGGGTTTTGGTAAAATAATAACATTTTGTGTAGGGTAAAAAAAAAATTATAGTGTTCACGTATTTAAATTACACGATGTGTAAATTATAATAATATTATTAAATATAGTATTGAGTGGATAATAAAGTAAAAATAAACAAATTGTACAATTATACTTATAAAATGTATTTATTATATACGTTTTTTTATTATTAATCAACATTTATGTAGGTTTTTTATGTATTAAATATGATTTTATTCTACGTCTATATACTATTGATCGATTTCTATTCTTTGATTTTTGTTTACATTTGAAATGTATTGGATGTTTTTTTAAAATCAATAGGTAATAATTTAAAATTATTACACGGTTTAAACTAATAAAACATTCTCATTTACTTGTAAGATTGGTCAAAGTTTTTGAAATGTGTTTAATTAGTTTTGTCGAAGTTTATAGAATGTCTCTTTTCAGATTTATCGGAACTTGTTAAAAATTGTTTTGATCATTCGATTAGTTTAGAATATTTTGTTCACTATTAGAACGTAAAAATTTCTACCGATATTATTTTATAAATATGTAAAAATTCTCATTGAAAATATTGAAAAATAGAATATATTACATTATTCTTAAAAGTATAAAATTTAGAACAATTTATTCAATTTTGTGATATGATTTAAGAAAAATTTGAAATGTTACAGAATCATAATATATTAATGATATTAAAAACAATTATAAGAGCTTGCTATTTGTTTGTATATATTTTTTACTTGAATTTAGCGGTTAATATAGTTATTATTATATCCAATGAAAAAATCATTTAGCCAAATAAAAACTAAGAAAATTTTAACAATAATCTATAAATAACAGTACAGCATGTGATATTATTTTTTGTGCTAGTAATCTTTCTTTTGAGATGGCGTTCCGACACAACAAACGAAAAGATATCATAACAAGACAGGTGAACTGATACCTTGCAACTTTATGGATGACTAAACATTATAAATGTTTTCGTAAGTTTATTGTTGTATTCACATAATATTTTTCGGTAAATTGCAACAATATAATAGTAACTGTGATAATTTTTATTTTGTACATAACTAGGAACTATTGTGTCCAAAGAGTTGTAGATAGTATAAAGGGACTTGCCCCGACTTAACAATTATTGAAAGACAAAACTATATCTTTGTGATGTATATTTTTTATTTTCAAAAATAATAATATTAAAAAACAGTTATAAGTAGAAAAATTAAAACAATTTTTACCTTTCAAATATTGAATTAACAATGTTTGATCACATTTTACCACCAAAAGGTTTGCCTTTGACTTAACCATTCTCTTCGGAACATTTCAGACAATTACCAATTTGATCATCCTAGTTTGATATCTAATTAATATGCAACATAATACAACCCCCATCAGATTTCAGCTGACATCAAATCAATACTTTGAAATGATCAAACAAATTTTATGACTAATTAATGCGCATAAAAATAACTTTAATGATTTCAAGATACTATAACCTGTATATAAAATAGATTCGATAGAAAATTACTTGGTAATTTAATAACATCAACGAATACTTAAAATATTAGGTTTAGATCTACAAATTCATTAAGGAAAACAATAATAATTATGTAATTAGCGAGTTTCCGCCATCTATTTTAGTGTGGAGCATATAATTATACGTCCGGTCGAGTTATCAAACCAAATGGAAATAAATCCGTCATCGCATTTCCGATGTGTCCACATACACACCAGCCCAGTGAACACTGTGATTGCCAGATGTGACCTGTCGTCGTGTAAATTTAAAACGTCCTCGTCGGATGAAAAAGAAACGGATCAGGGCCTGTCAACAGGAAGCACCTCTGCCACCGCTTTTGATTTTTTGCGCGAAAAAAACATATCTTGACCTCTTCTCTTCTACCCTCTTAATGCGATATTGTAGCATCCAAGGGTTCCGCCCAATTAATTACCACCATTAAACGTTTTAGCGTATGAGGAATTAAAAATACAAACATTTAAATCCCACCGAACGAGTTACGATTTTGATGACCCGCGCGGCAGATCCCGTCTACCCCAAAGTACCCTTTTGTGGCTCATAACTGTCATATAAACCAACACACTAGTACACAACATCAGCAACGAAAAAGATAATGTTCACATATTTTTCTGTAACAAAAACAGATCCCAGTAAAAATCTAAAGTTTATTTCGTTATAACCAGCGGCAACCGCAGGGGCTTGTGTTGCGACATGTATAAAAAAACATTTGCCGATGAAATATTTGTAATGAAACGCAAATAAATAGTTTCCTCGAGTTCTTTATATTCTAATGTGTTTAACATAAATCGCTTCGAACAAATTTAGCTTAACGTTAAGTCTTTTCGTGTCACTTTAAAGTAAGATAATGTTAAGACGATGCGCACGGACGACTATAACAGTTATTGATTTATTTCAATATTAATTGAATTCACAAAAATTAAACAATTAATATTATTAACATTTTGGCGATTTTTCTTAAATAAAAACATTTTTCATTACATCGAAATATACGAATTAAATAATTTGCATTGAAAACTACTATTCAATTTTTATTCATTTTATTACATTATGTTTACATCTAATTTTCAAGAGATAAAATTTAATTAAATGTTAGTGCTGTTAAAATGAGCGTCTGCAAAATGTAGTTAATGATATTTATGGCACTCGATAAAATGACGGCAGGTTGTTACTTCCTCGATGTGTACATTTTGTTTCTTTACAAGAACAGTCGGAAAATGGTCTGGTGATAAATAGAGAAAATATAAAGAAAAGCGATTGTACGTCAACTCAAAAGAAAAAGCAGAACGATAAAATGAGAGAAAATACGAGGGTAGACGGGAAATTCCATAGAAAATACGACCGCCCCTTGGCCAAAATGTTTTCAAAGACAACAAAAGCTCCTAAGCAATTAATTGCCCCTCTTCTATTCCGAGTAGGCTTTCTGTTTGTTTATGTTTCGCCAATGGGGAAATTGCTACCGATGAAATGACCGACCTTTCAGTGCCGAAATGATATTAACGTAAAACCAATTATGTATCCAAAACGAACAGCTATTAAACTTAAAAACGAATTCAGAAACATCCATTAGAGAGTATGTTAATTTGTAAAAACTTATAAACAAAACAGGAATAACAATATTTCGTGAAAGGGTTTATAGTACCGTTTTAAGATAAAACATGCCATTCGAGAAGTTAAAAAAATCATTAATTAAATTCATTATTATTTATTGAAGCTCGAAATGTACGATGCATTAATATAAATTTGATTTTAATGATTACGTTTATGTAATCTATTTGTATATTTACCGTTATAGCAACACAAACTAATCCTTTTCTCGTTTATTTCGCCTTTTTTTTTTTACAGCTAAACGTACTCGATTCGTCGCTCCGTTATTGAATTCACAGCAATACTACTCGATTTGAAAATAGCACAACTTTTTAGTGACGTGCTTAGGAAACCTGTTTAAATTCTGTTTGAAATCCATCGAGTATTATTTTTATACGGTACTGTCATCTCAGAAAAACGCAGCGGTCTTTTCTTTTCAACGACAAACGGATTTATTTGACTGGACTAATTTTAGAAAGTTTTTCGGAGGATTTATAATTTTACTCGTATTTTACGTGGCGCGCTCAAAAAGGGGGCTAGTTAACTGCAGCGTTAAAAAAAATCAAACAAAAACAATGCTAGTCCTGACTTGACGCTACTGCCGGCTGTTGTCTGCCCACATGAGCCCGTTGTCAGGTTTCAACACCTCTTGCCGCGTCCTCGGCGGTCTAAACGCGCGTCGACAAATTATTGTTTCCACCGGCAGCCAGTCACACATTGAACAAGACAAAATGATTAATGAATCCGACGGCAGCTCCAACGACGACACGCGCTTTCTAACGAGACAATATATTGTCAGACAAATTTCGTTCCATTTACGTTTTTGGAATCGCTTTTGATCACAACACGAACGGTCGTGGCGACTTTCGACCAGTAACGGTTAATAGAAGTGTTGCCGTCAAGATGAATGAAACTTATTTCTAAATAATCGACTGTATAATTTACCTTCATCCTATGGGTTTTTGTGTACGTTGGCATTGACAAATCCATCTTGATTTGATTCCGTAATGGTTTTTGTTCAACGATGGAGATGAAACAACTGATTTTTGAATATTACTCGAGTATTGAGTAATTTGAATTTGTTTCTGAAACGCAAAGTAAAGTGTTTTAGAATATACCAATGGATCTGACGAAAATGTGCCTAAAAATTAAATACACTCTAATTAATTAAATATTGCATACAATGAAAGGCAAACTAAAGAAATTAACTATTAAACTTTCAGTGGTTATTATTGTTACTTTATTTTGTAAGACAAAATGCCGAATAAACAAATTCTTTGTCGAAAAATGGAAATTTTTATGAACTTGTAAATCTCAATTTTTAGTTAACATTATCTAAACTAATTAAAACGTAGACTAGCAAAATGGCCATATTAGGATGAAATGATTTTTTTTCAAATTCTAGTGATATCAAATTTTAATCTAATATCTGTCACA